TTTCTTCGATGGCGCGAGAACGCCAGGGCAAGTCGCGCTCGCAGCTGGCATGCTGGCGATGGCACTATCGTGGGCGAGGTGCGCGCGCCTGCCGCATTCCAGGCTCTGAAAAGAGATCGCGCCCTTTTTGGTCGCGCTGCGCGTCGCGATGCATGCGCGGGGCGCGGCGGGGGGTTTCGTTCGACCCGAGTTTGCCGAGGCACTTGGGGTGCGCGCCATTCGCCGCGGACGCCCGAGGGGGCGGTTGGCGCGCGCTGGCGGCGCGGGAAGATCGCGCGGGAGGAGGTGCGCCAGCGGGGCTCGCCTTTGACCCAGTCTCTGGCCCGCCAGTGAAATTCGGCGTTCTCGCCCGGCCACTCACTGAAGCAGGTCTTCATAGACTCGTTGGCAGACGACCCCCAGTCGGATCTGGCGACGCCTGGCAGCCTGCGTTGAGCGGGGCGCGCGCGGGCGAGCGCCTCTGCCGCTGGGCGAGGAAGCCCGGGCCATCTCTGGCATTTGGGTGGAGGGGGCGGCAACTACTGTCCGAACCAGATGCCGATTGTGCATGATGCGCGCCGGCGGCAAGCAGAGACGCGCGCGTTCCCATATGGCCGGCTCGATGTGTTGTCCGCGAACCGATCTTTAGGTTAGTCCCTTGTGCACCGGGGGCGCGCGCGATATTGGGCGAGTTCCGCGCCTGGGAAGATATCGTCGAGTGACTTGGAGAGCGGGGCGCGTCAGCGGGCGATAGCGTTCGCCGCCCGCGAGAAGGCGGGGTTTCTTCCACGGGCGTTGTGGCGGAATTGCGGCGGCAGAAACTTCCGCGCATGAGCGTCGCTCCGCCATGGGGGGCGGGTTGGGCGTGGAGAAGCGCCGCGCGAGCGGCAGAAGGGCGGGGCCCAGGTGCGTCGCAAGTTCAACGCTGGGGGGCGCTCCGAGCCTCGCACCCACGGGTGCGAGCACGTGCGTTCCATCGCGCGCGACTGGACGGGCCGCCCGCGCGACGCGGCGATCCGCTGCGCCTTGATGCTCGCCGGGGCTGTTTGTCGGGGCGGTGGTGTCCCGGGGCCGTCTGCTTCTTGTCGCCCAGGGGGGAGCGGTCGGAACGCCTGGCGCCGCGCCTCGCGGCGACGGGAACGCGGGCGCGGGATGGGGGCGCGGCCGACAGCGGCGGGCGCGCGCGCACGGGCGCACGACGCGCGCCCACTGCCGCGCCGCCCCCCGCGGCAGTTGGGGGGTCGACGTCTGGCGCGCGCGCCCAGGGGCCGCGTGCTCGCGGCGGGGTCAGGGCGATATCGCGGCGACAAGTCTGAAGTCATTTCTGGTGTTCCGACCCCTTTAATGCCGGACGAGCGCAATATTTCGCCAATCATTCATGTCGCGATCCGGGCGGAATTGCATAATTCATGTTTGCCGTTGCTGTTCTTTGAGCAGATTCCTACGCGCGCGCGAACGCCGCGATGGGTCGCGAGGCGGGCGCGCTCGACCGAAATCAGCGCCGGCGCTGGTTGCCGAGCATGGGGCGTGGGCATCTCGCCCAATGCGTGGAATTCGGCAGCCCGGAGGCATCGCCGTTCTACCTCGAGTTAGTAATTGGCGCCTGTCGATCTGAGATGCGTCGCCGTGGCCGCAGCGGCGTTCGCGCGGTTTTGCGGCGATTGGTCGACGCAGTTGCGAAAGTCTTGCGCCGGGGCGCTGGGAGAGCTTAGTCAGCGGCTGGCGCCAATGCCCCGCGCGCCCTGGCAGCGGCAGAGCCCTCTTTGTGCGCGCCGCGGCGAGGAGAATTCGCGTCGCGTTAATGTGAGTCTCGCCCTGGGCGATGGGATGGCCGGATTGGCGTCTTGCTTGCAGGTTTCGATATCGTCGGGCGCCTGGGCGAAACGGGCGCCCGGGGGCGGCGCGGCGCCTCGGCGCCCGCTCGATTGCTTGCCGAGTCTCCCGCGATGTTGCGGGCCAGGGGCAAGCGATGCCTGGTCCCTGAAGCCGGCCGTGCTTGGCGATCTCGTCTGAAGGAGGTCGAGAGGGGCCGGGCCCCCTCTTGGCGTCGCGAGCTGCGCCTGGCCGAGAGCGCGGCGCTGAGCACGGGGCAACCGCGCCGTTGTTGTCGCGCGCGATAGATTGGCGAGCGCCGGCGGATTGACGGCGCCAAAGCTGGGGGGCAGACCGAGCGACGGCGCGCCCTGAGAAGTGGAATTTGCCGTCGCCGTTCGCGCTTGTCTTGCGAGCTAAAAGTCTTGAGGCAGCGCCTGGGTGGCGCTGCGAACGCCTTGCCCGCCCCCCCCCCCCCCCCCAGACTATCGTCGGGGCGCTGCGGTTTTCATTGGGCGGGCCCGGCTGGGCCCCCGCGGGAGGGCGGCGGGCGGCCCGCGGCGGGCGGGGCGCGGGGCGGGCGCGTGGCGCGCTTCCCCGAGTCAAGGAGCTGCTGCGGGCAGTTTCGGCGTCGAGGGATTGCGCGCCCGGCCGCGCTGGCCGACCCCGCTCGCCCGCGTTGCAATGCAATCGCGGCGCGAGAGCCGTGCGGAGAGCGGCGGCGCTTGACCGCGCGCGCCTTGCTGCTTGGCCCGTCGCCCAGCGTCGTGGATTTCGCTTTGTATTTCTGGGGGCGGCGGCCAGGCGCGCGACGGCGCGGTTGCATGTCGCGCGCGTCGGCGACGGTGACATGGGGGGCCTCGGGCTGGCGAAGATTTCAGGGCGAGTTTCGCGCGACGTCTTGTTCTCGGCGCTGCGGGCCCCGAGTGCAGATGCAAGCCAGCAGCGTTTGGCAGCCGCGGGGTCGTTGTTGGGCGTCGAGCTGGGGGCGATATCCGCTTGGCCGAGGGCGCTCGTGATTCGCGAGGTCGGGGGGTGATTGGCGGGGCGCCGAGCCCGTGGCAGTCTTGGCGCTGGCGGAGACTTCGAAGATCCGAGGCAGCTTGCAGTGGTCGTCATCTGCGATGGTCACTGGCCCTGGCAGCGCTGCCGTGGCGCCGTCTCAGCAAGGGCACCATGCGGGCGCGCCTCCTTGGGCCGTATCCCGCGCGCTTCGACGTTGTTCAGACTATCTCGGGTTCTTCGAGGATCTGCCCCCGAAGAGAAACACCGGCGTCTGCCCGCGAGCGCGTTCGTTGATCGCCAGTGCGAGTGGCGCGCGAGCCGACGGCGCGACCGAGCCAACTGGCGGCCATCTTGTCGTCGATGGCTTGACGGGGGAGCGCGCGGAGAATTGCGTGTCTTCGACGATGCGCCACTTGCGGGCTGAGGCTTCTCGTTCGTGTTGGATAGAGATAGAGGCGCCAAACCGAACGCTCTGCGCGATGCGAGGGGCCCATGGCCCCGTTAGCACTGGCGCGCGAGGCGCGGAGGTGCCGCGGGAGGCACGCCCTGCGGGCATTCGGCAACGCGACCGCTCTCTATAGTCTTGCGAGCGAGGTGCGTTCGCGCCACCCAGGGTCGGAGCGTCGAGCCCGCGGTTTGCGGCGGGCGCCGCGCGGGGGAATGGCGAGGGCGCGCCGCGCCATGCGTCGCGCCAGTTTCGTCGCTGCGACGTGACCACGTGCCTTGAATGGGCGGGCTCCACAAGCAGCTGGTCTGATGGCATTTCGAGTCGCGCCGCGCGCGCGCGCGCTCGCGCGAAGAAGTGTTCCTCCCGCTGTCCGTTCGCTCGCGCGTTGCCTGGCGGCTTGGCGAGGGCGTGTTTGCCCGGGAGAACGGGGCCCGAACGGAAGATGCGAGCGCGGGCTTGGCCGCGCGGCGAGCGTCGCTGGTGGGCGCGCGGCGATGGGCGCGGTGGCGCGCGGCCGCGCGGGGGCGCTGGGCCCTGCGAAAAGTGGGCCAGAGCAGCGATGGGGCGCAGCAGCGAACGGGCCACGGCATCGTCGGGGTGGGCGCCGTTCACGCGCAGGTGCTCCGCCGGGGGGCCAACGATTGGAATGTGATTCGATGCGCAGGGCGGGGGGCGCGCGCGAACGCGATCGCGCGCCCCCGCGCGACGCGCGCGGGGCATCGCGTCGCGTTGGGAAAGCGTCGCGCGCCGCGACGAAAGCGCGGGGCGCGTCGCCACGTGCCGCGCCCGGTCGCGGCGCGGGGAAAGCGCCGTTGGTGATCATGCGGGCGCGCGCCCGCACGCATTGCATTATGTTGGCAAATCCGCAGTCGTTTTGCGTTGGTCTGCGACAAGTAGAGATGGAGGGATCGACATCTCACCCAGCGTGGTGCACCTGGTGCGCGTGCCGCACCTTGCATGCGCGGCGCGCCGTGCGGGCTTCGCGCTCTTGGTTTGCGCCAGCATTGGTTTACCGATGGTTGTCGATGGCGGCCGCTGCCTATGCTAAGATTTGGGTGCTACTTTGTAGTGGGAAGCTGGGTGCGAGTGAGCGAGACAGCTTGCGGCGTTCTCGCTGGGAGTTTGACCTATACTCCTACCCCCATTCGATGTAGCATGCGTGCCTGTTCTCGCACGCGTAATCGTGTGCATACTAAGCTCGAACCGCAGCCTTGATAACGTTGTCACTGAAGGTGTTTCCGTCGATTCTCCCTTCTGGTCCAGGGTCTCAAGCGGTTTGAGGTATTATTATGCAGGGTTGTCAGTTTCACATCCACGGGGTCTCAACTGCTGTTCGGATGTCAATGGTGCTTTTGTTCGAGCGCTGGCTTCGTTTTAGGGTCGGCATGTTTGTCCCGCCGTTCAGGAAAACGCTGTCGACAGCACGGTGGACGCTTGTGGATGTGAGTCCCTCGTCGTCGTTGCCCCCTCTGTTTTTTCCCTTCTGCGCCTTCCGTCCTGCTCCTCCTGGTGTTCCTGCTCCTGCTGCTGCTGTTCCTCCTCGTTCCCTTCCTCCCTCATCCTCCTTTTCGTCCTGCCCCTCTTCGGGTTCATCCGCCAGTTCCCCCCCCTTCCTCCTTCTCCTCATCCCCCATTGCGCATTGTTCCCAGTTTTGTCCCCGTTGCGCAAATCAGGCTGGAATCATTTTGGAGGCTTCGGGTGGTGAGCCACGCAGCGGAGGAGGATGCCGAGACTCATGGGCCTTCGGCCCCTCAGGGTCGGCGGATTTCGGGGCCGCCTGAGAATGTGACGCGCGCTAAGGAGATTATCGACCGCATCGTCGAGACAGAGCACAACGACTACCCCGAGGGGCAAAACGAGGTCATCAACCGCATGATAGAGGAAACCGAGCGCCCAAGACGTCCTCGGGAGGCGGAGCGGGCCGCGGACGCTGGCGCCGAGCGCCCGAGACGCCTTCGCGAGGCGGAGCGGGCTGCGGACGCGGGCGCCGAGCGTCCCAGACGTCCATGCGAGACGGAACCCGCCGTGGACGCGGGCGCGGACGCGGACGAGGCGGTCGTCGAGTTGGACCGGAAGGGTGCCGCCAGATATCTCATCGACAGGCGCCCTTCCCTCCCAACCTCATCCCTCCTCGCCCCAGCCCATCTCCCACACCCACCCCCCGTCCCCCGTCCCTCGCCCCCCCATCCGCTCTCACCCCCGCCCCTCCCCCATGCCCCTTCCCGTCCCGCCCTCCACCCCCTCCCCGCCTCCACCCCCTCCCCCTCGTAGACGCACTCAATATAAATGCCCTTCTCTTTCCCGAAGATGGCCGAGCGTCCCGCCCTCCCCACGCATTGGTCCACACACAGGATTTCAAAAGTGTTGTCTTCCCCATGATTTTTTCAACACCAGTCCCGGTCCTTCAAATGGTTTGCCGCTGCAGTGTGGGCCTCAATTCAGGATCGGCGATGTGTCCCCGTCGTTTAGAACGACTCGCCCTAGTGCAGTCCACTTTTCTGGATTCGACTCGTTCTCATCGCTGTCAACCCACTTCTTTCCAATCCTGCTTCCCCTGGTCATCGTGCTTCTGCTGCTCCTTCTTCTCCAGCTCCTGCTGCTGCTCTTTGTCCTCGTCATCCCCAGTCCTCCTCCTCCTCCTCCTCCTCCTCCTCCTCCTCCTCATCATGATCATCATCAACATCAACGTCATCAGCATAATCATCAGCATCATACTCATCAACATCAACATCAACATCAACGTCGTCATCATCATCATCATCATCATCATCATCATCATCATCATTATCATCATCATACTCATTTTCATAATCAGTATCATCATCCTCATCATCATCCGCCACCTCCTCCTCCTCCTCCTCCTCCTCCTCTTCCTTATTATCCTCTTCTTCCTCCTCCTCCTCCTCCTCCAGTGTCAGCTCCCTTTTTCCGATTGTGCATGACACGTTGGGGTCTTTTTGGGGGTTCTAGGTCCGCTATGCCACGTTCTGGCGGATAGAGAAATGTTAGCGCAATGGGAAGGGATGGATGGGAGGGGTAAGATGACATATGGTGCGAAGCGTCTGGCTTGATCACGTCTTCTCGTCCATCTCCGCCCCAAGTCCATCCTGGCCCCCAGCCCCCCCCTCCCTCACCCTCCCTCGCCCGCCCCCACCCTCCCCCTCCTTTTTCCCCCCTCTTCCTCCTCCTCTTCCTCCCTCCTTCCTTCTCCTCCTCCCCTCCCTCCTCCTCCTCCTCTCCTCCTCCTCCTCCTCCCCGCCCCCCCCGCCCCTCCCTCCATCTCGCCCTCGCGGGCGCGCCAGGCCAGGGTCACTTTCGATCCGATCGATCCGACTCATTATCGATTCCAGCCGGCCTGCGATCGGACTCATTACTCATTATCGATTCCAGCCGGCCGGATCCGATTCGATTATGATTGTAATGGCCTTTGGCCAGTGCCGCCGATCCGGGGGGCTCCGGATTCGGTGATCTTGGAGTCGTCGTGGACGCTGTTTGGGAGGGAGGGCGTTCTTGGAGTCGTCGGGGACGCTTTTTGGAGCTGACGTGCCTTCTGGGGGGGGTCCCTAGAGCGGTCCTGGGTGGGGGTCCGGGGAGGGTTCCGAGGGGAGGGTCCTGGGGGCGGTAGCGGCTAGATCTGAGGGGGGTCCCTGGGACCCCCCGAAACATCTTGGGGATGCGCAAATCATTAAGAAAACGCCAGATGGGGGACCGCCCCCCCCCACCTCCCCCCTTTCCCCGGGGGGGGTCCGGGGAGGGTTCCGAGGGGAAAGTCCTGGGGGGGGGGACCCCCCGAAACATTTTGGGGATGCGCAAATCATTAAGAAAAACCAGATGGAGGACACCCCTTCTCCCCCCCTTACCCGGCAGAGCCACCCCGGCGACCCCCCCCCCAAGCAGAGCTGAAGCTCTTGCTTAGACTCAGAGCTGAAGCTCTTGCTGAGGCTGTAGTTCACACGCCAGATCGGCGGATTTCCCGTCGATGGCGCTGGTCTGCATCTTGGCGCGTCCGACTCGATTCGATTCTGACTCCGTGCCGATGCGGCCCGATCCATCTTACATTCCGATTCGATCAGATGTTCCGATTCGATGCTGGCTGGTCCTGCAGGCAGGGGGACATGGCGAGGCGCATCAGCCAGGAGAGCCGCGCGAGGGTTCGCGTGGAGAACTCGCGGGGCTCCTCCGAGGGCCCGCCCTGTGTCAGAATCACGGGCACATTCGAGGCCGTGGACCGCGCGAGGGGCATGGTCCTCGACGTGCTACAGGCATCCGCGCCCGCGCTCCGCGCGGCGGCACGTCCAGACCTCACTCAGACGCTCCTTTCCTCCTCCCTCCTGTTCTCCCTCCTTCCTCCCTCCCTCCTCCGGCTCCCTCCCTCCTCCCTCCCTCCTCCTCCCTCCCTCCCTCCCCTCCTGCTAGGCTGCGCCTCCTCCTCCTTTCTGGCCATTCGCAGGGTCCCTGGATTGCAGGTCCTGCTGCGATGATCAGTCGCCCAGTAGCACCTCCAGGATTGGGTCCGCGATCACAGCGCCGACGGCCACTGCCACGACGACAAACACGACCGCCCTGACCGCCCCCGCCCCCCGCCGTCCCTCTCCCTCCTTTCCTCTCCTCGCCCCTGCCGGGCGTTCCCTGCTTCTACGCGCGCCTAGCGCGCAGTCCTCCCCTTTCTGCTCCTCTTCTCCTCCTCCTCTCCCTCGTGCGCGAAGTCGAATTCAAGCGGCTCGTTTGTCGTCGCCGAAGCTGATGGCCCTGCGGGGAGACCCTCTGTTCTGGCCTGTTCCCTGGGGTCCCTTTCGGGGGGGCCTGTCCCTCTTTCAGGGAGCCTCTGGGGCCGTGGCGACTGGGAGGGAGGGAGGGAGGAAGAGGAGAATGAGGAGGAGGAGCGACCGCATAGAGAGCCATCCCGTCGGCTACCCGCTCCGTTTCGTTTGTCGATGAGGAAGTCCAGGAGGCTTCTCGCGACGCGCAGCAGTTGTAGCATCTTGTCTACAAGTCCGCTCCGTACGATTTGGGTCGACGTTCGCGCGGGGATGCTCCGACGTAAGCACGACATGAACCCGACGTAATCCCGACGTAGATCCAACGCACGTTGGGCCTTGCCGCGAGATGCCTCCGGGATCTTTCCAAGGAGCTGCCTTCCAAAAAGCCGGGCCTTCCCGAGGCTGGAAAGGCCCGGCCCTCCTCGGGGGCAGGGCCCGGCGGAGTCGACGGCACGGGCGCGGCGGAGTGGCCCGAGTGGACGGACGCGCGGGGGGTGCGCCGTTTGTCCGCTTGCAGTGGCCACTGACCCCGAGATCTGAAGGTACGATCTGTCTCAGTCCCGGAGTTTTTCTCATCGATTTTGGCCCCCAGGGGCCGTTCCAGGGCCCAGAGGACCATTCAGAATCGATCCAGGACGACAAATTATCCTCATGTAAGCGGTCGGGACCCAGGCCCGCGGATCGAAACAAGCACCAGATCAGCGGATGTCAGGGAGTCGCAGGCCGCCGTCGTCGTCGTCGTCGTCGTCGCTCTCGTCCAGATCCGTCCTCGCCGTCGTTGTCGCCGCTTTCCCTGAGATCCGACGTTGCGAGCAAAAATGCAACATCGCGAAAAGCCACGGCCAGAGCGGCCCAATCTTCCTGCGGCGACTGTCGAGCTGGATTGATCTGTGACATTCCCGGGGGTCTGGAACGGGGAGAACACGCCAAGTGCGAAAAAGTTGCACGGCCAGGACCTGAAGGGAGGTCCGGGACAGCAGCTACAGCCCGCACCCCCCCTCACGCCGGCCCGCCCGCCGAGGCGCTGCTGGGGTCGCTGGCCCGTCGGCCTTGAGCAATTCGGCTCTTGCGCGGCCCGCTCGGACCTTACTCGCCGCTGGCGCCCTCGCCTGCGGTTGCGACGAAAACAAATCCCCACCAGCCCATCCAGAAACGATGCCCAGGCAAGCTGACGGAAGAAGGGAAGAAGAGACGCACATAGTGAACCAGAGCGGGCAACAACGGTGAATTGGGAGATCTTTTGTGGCGAAGGTTGCAAGTGTTTCTTGCTGGTGCTCGTGCTCCTGCTGGTACTGCTGCTGCTGTTGTTGCTGCTAGTGCTGCTGCTATTGCTGCTGATGGCGCTGGCTCTCGGATGATGAGCAGGCGGATAAGGAGGAGGTACGGGGTACGTTAACCAAACAGAAGACGTGTTTAACCACACAGAGTTGGCATCCGTAAAAACACGTCGCTAAAAACACGTCGCTAAAAACACGTCGCTAAAACACGTCGCTAAAACACGTCGCTAAAACACGTAGCTAAAACACGTCGCTAAAACACGTCGCTTAAATACATCGCTGTAGGGCCTGTATAATTGCGGGATTAGTGGAAATAGTAGTGATGGTAGTAGTGGTGGTAGTAGTGGAAATAGTAGTGGTGGTAGTAGTGGAAATACCAGTGGTGGTGGTAGTGGTGGTAGTAGTGGTTGTAGTAGTGGTAGTAGTAGTGGTGGTAGTAGTGGCAATAGTCGTGGTGGTAGTAGTGGAGATAGTCGTGGTGGTAGTAGTGGTGGTAGGAGTGGTGGTAGTAGTGGAAATAGTAGTGGTGGTAGTAGTGGTGGTAGTAGTGGTAGTAGGAGTGGTGGAAGTAGTGGTAGTAGGAGTGGTGGTAGGAGTGGTTGTCGTAGTGGTAGGATGAGTGGTGGTCGTAGTGGTAGTCGGAGTGGTGGTAGTAGTGGTAGTACGAGTGGTGGAAGTAGTGGTAGTAGGAGTGGTGGTAGGAGTGGTGGTCGTAGTGGTAGCAGGAGTGGTGGTCGTAGTGGTAGTAGGAGTGGTGGTCGTAGTGGTAGTAGCAGTGGTGGTAGGAGTGGTGGTCGTAGTGGTAGTAGGAGTGGTGGTCGTAGTGGTAGTAGGAGTGGTGGTAGTAGTGGTAGTAGCAGTGGTAGTAGTAGATGCAGCAGTGGTGGTGGTGGTGGTAGTAGTGGTAGGAGTCGTAGCCGTGGTGGTGCAGCAGTGGTGGTGGTGGTCGTCGTAGTGGTCGTAGTCGTGGTCGTAGTGGTGGTCGCAGTCGCGGTCGGAGTCGTGGCTGCGGCGGTGCCAAGAACACGTCGCTAAAACACGCCGCTAAAACACGCCGCTAAAGCACGTCGCTAAAACACGCCGTTCGAAACACGCCGCTCGAAACACGCCGCTCGAAACACGTCACTCGAAAGACGTCTCTGGAAACACGTCACGGGAAACGCGGCGCTGGAACGCGCGTCGCTAAAACACGTCGCTAAAACACGTCGCTAAAACACGTTGCGAAAAGCGCGAACGCGTCACGAGAAACACGTCACCAGAAACGCGTCACCAGAAAAACACATCACTGGAAGCGCGTCGCTGGAAACACGTCACTGGAAACACGTCGCCGGAAACACGTCACTGGAAACACGTCACTGGAAACACGTCACTAGAAACACGTTACTAGAAACATGTCACTAGAATTACGTCACTAGAACCACGCCACTAGAATCACGTCGCTGGGAACACGTCACTAGAAACACGTCACTAGAAACACGCCACTGGAAACACGTCACTAGAAACACGTCACTAGAAACACGTCACTGGCAACACGTCATTAAAAACACGCCATTAGAAACGCGCCATTTTGGCTCCAGGCTTAGTCAGCATGGGGCTGCTGCAGCGCATTTTAAAGCAGCGCCTTTGTCCCAAGGCGCTGCTGCCCAACATCTCGGAGTTCGCGCCTTTGAAGGACCTGCTCCTCTTTGCGGCGGAGAGGCAGTGGGAGGCGCGCCAACTGGCGGCTACCTTCCTTGTGGCGCGAGGGGTCCGAGGCCGCGAGGGCGTAGAGGTCGTCGCCGCCTTCCTGAAGGCGAAGGAGGCCGGCGAGGTGGCCTGGGAGAGACTGGCGTTCGTGCAGGAGTTCTACGAGTTCTTCGATGCGAGGTGGCGCGCCGAGGTGGCGCGGACAGGGCAGGCGAGCAGCTTGTCGCACCAAGAGGGGCGGCATTCCGCTCTCTCGGGGCGCAACTTCGTGGAGACGTTGGCTGACGACGAGAATCAGCGCAACCTTTTCGGCGACTCCGGCATCTCCTCCCGCCTGGCGCCCTACTTCGACAAAGGCGTTTTCGGCAGCATGGATGCGGCGGGCCTCCTCTTGGTATCCAGCGGCCCGCGGCCGAGCGCGCCGCCGGGCGCGGGGGCCCAGGAGGAGGAGGGGGGAGGGCGAGGAGGAGGAGGAGGAGGAGGAGGAGGAGGAGGAGGAGGAGGGAGGGAGGGAGGGAGGGAGGGAGGGAGGAGGAGGAGGGGGGAGACGGAGAGGAGGAGGGGGAGGAGGAGGAGGGAGGAGGAGGGAGGAAGGGGGAGGAGGAGGAATAAAGGGGGAGGAGGAGAGAGGTGGAGGGAGAGGGTGGCGCTTCAACGTGCCTGGGGCACGGTGGCGGATGCGTCGAGCTCGTCCGACACCCCATGGCTCTCTCGCCGGGCCACAACCGCGCGCAGATAAAGAGCGCCCGGATTCTCGGCAAACCCGCGAAGACCAGGGACGCCGCGAGGGCTGCGAAGTTCGTTTCCGCCGAGTCTTACAACGCGATGGACTTCCTGCGCGCGTACTCCAACATCATCACAGAGGTGTTCGGCGCCCTCCCCCCCCCCCATCGCTTTCAACCCTGGACTCTGGGAATTGATGTTGCAGTCTCAGCGAAAGCCGGCGGATATTCGGGAGCTGCTGAAGCTGTTCGAGCTGGACATGGCTGGCGCAAGCCGGCTGCTGCGCGACGGGCTCGGGGTGAATTGGGCCACCATCCTTGTGATGCTGTGCGAGGTCCGCCAAGAGATCGGAGGCGACGTCACTGCGAGCGCCCTCAGCGAGCTGGTGGCCCGGCTGGAGGCTCGCCCGCATCTCGCGGCCGCCGTGGAGAGCGCGGTCGCGGAGGTCGTCGCGCGCGGCGCTGTGCAGCGGCAGCGCTACATGGTGCGCGTCTGCCGCTCCTGGATGGAGACCGAGCAGCAGCAGCCGCCGCCGGAGGACGACGCGGAGGAGGGACAGGTGCAGTGCGACGAGTCTGCGGGTGGGGCGGCGCCCGCGACGGCTCCGCCGCCTTCGGAGTCGCCGTGCAACCAGGGCGAGGCGAAGCTGCTGTCGGTGGACACCGGGCCGCCGCTGCTGGGCGCGAGCGGGGTCGCGGTCGAGGCGGAGTGCGCCGACTCGTCCGCGAGCGCGGCCGCGCCCGCGACACCCCCGGCAGCGGTCGCGGGGTCTCCGCGCGACCAAGGGGAGGTGACCCCGTCGGCGCAGGGAGTGGCGACCCCGCTGTCGGTGGGGCCCGGGGCGCCCCTCGCGCTCGCAGATAGGCGCGCCCTCCCGCCAGCGGAGGCCCTGGTCGTCCCGGAGGCGGGCGGGGCCTTGGTCAAGGTGGAGTCCAAAGGAGATCCAGCCGAGTCGTCAGGAGTCAAGAGGACACGGAGGGAGCCGAACCCGAAGCACAAGTGGGCACGGAGGGATTCGATGCCCCAGGCTCCGAGGGGCGACAGCGCCCCGATCAGGGAGCGGAGCGAGGAGAGGCAGCGCCTCTCGAAGGAGAGGCCCGGCGAGTGGCGAAAATGCCCTCAGTGCATGTGGGCGCGGTACGTGCCCCGCGGCCCCCGCCAGACGCACTGCTCCAGTTATAACGGAGGTTTCACGGGGCCGTGGAAGTGCGCGGCCCAGCCCGCTGAAGCAGGGTGGGAGCGGCAGCCGCGCGTGGCCCCCGATGCCGTGGCGGGCCACAACCTGGCGGTCCAGAGGGCTTTGGCGATTGTGCAAGACAGGATGCCGCCGCCGCCGCCCAAGGACAAGGCGGCCCGGCGGCGCTTCTTGCAGGCGGTGCGGGCCGCTATCGTCGAGCCTCCCCCTTAGGCATTTGTGCGGCACTCGCCTACGCGAGGCTAAGTTTGTTTTGTTTTGCGCTTCTTCTTCCGCCCCCCCCCGCCCCCCCCTCGCTCCTCCCTCCCCCTCCTCCCTCATCCCTCATCCCTCCTCCCTCCTCCCTCCCCCTCCCTCCCCTCCCCTCCCTTCCCCTCCCCTCCCCATCCCCATCCCGTCCCCCTCCCTCCCCCCCCCTCTCCCTCCCTCCTCCCCTCCCCCCTCCCTCCCTCCCCCTCCTCCCCCCCCCTCCCCGTCCCCCCCCCCCCTCCCCTCCCCTCCCTCCCTCCCTCCTCCCCTCCCTCCCTCTTTCTCTCCTTCCCTCTCTCCCTCCCTCCTCCCTCCCTCCCCCCTCTCTCCTTTCTCCTCCCTCCTCCTGCCTCGTCTGCCGACGCGCGCAGTGCAGCGTCTGGGATCCAGCTGCTAAATGCACGGTTGGTTTGTGATCCCAGGGGCCGCCTTCGCTCCGGGCGCCCCAGCGCAGTGCCGAGCGCCGCCCGGCGCCGCCTCTGATGCCCGCAGCGGGGGCTGCTGGCGCCGTTAGCGCGCGTGTCAGTTTGAGCCTCTGAGGAAGCGGGTGCGACGGGTCGGAGTCGGGGGCCTGCTCCACCGTGCGGGGCGGAGCAGAGTCGAGGTTACAATCGCGAGCTCGGCTTTGGAATGGGCCCGTCCATTGACTCCCTCTACAGAGCCCGTCAGAGTCTGCGGACGCGACTTCGGATGGTTTTTTCCGGAAAGGGCTGGGGCCCAGGGTTCTCCTTTAGTTGGTTTACCCCCGGGGGCGACTTTCCATGCCTCGCAGTTCTCGACCCCTTTCCGGGTTCGTGGGTCGATCATGCTTTTCCAGCAGCCATGAGTCCCAGGCGCTGCTTACAAGATCAACTGGGCCTGGGGTGGAGCCTTGGACCTTGGAGGTGCAGGATATCCCCATCAAGTGCCAAGTGGCATGGGGCCCACAATGGCATCGGCAGTCGGAGCCACGTGCTTGCCAGCACCCGCCAGAATGTTTTTTTTTATTCGACCGCCAGTTCTTTCTCCGACCGCTGGACTGTCTGGTTCCCCAAACAGCTTGCTGAACGGGGTGCTGTTGTGATATAAGCTAACTCCGGCCCAGGGAAATCGGAGCAGAGACATCCTCACAAAAATTTCATGGTCCAGGCCGTCTCGCTTGAGACATCCTCACAGCTCTCGTTTCTGAGTTGGCTGGGATTGGCCGTTTCGCCTGAGACAGCCTCGAACAACTATCCCGGCAAAGGAATCTAACAGCGATGTGTAGGAGCATATCTGGAAGCATTCCCCTTAGGATTCAGATGAGAATCCAGTTGTAGAATTCTGCTGCTCTCGCAGTCATAGTCGCATTCGCGATGACAGTCGCAGCGGCAACGGCAGTCGCAGTCACAGCCTCAGCCTCAGCCTGCCTCAGCCTCAGCCTCAGCCTGCCTCAGCCTCAGCCTGCCTCAGCCTCAGCCTGCCTCAGCCTCAGCCTCAGCCTGCCTCGGCCTCAGCGTCAGTCTGCCTTCGGCCTCGGCCTCAGCCTCAGCATCAGCCTCGCCCTGCATCAGCCTCAGCCTCAGCCTCAGCCTGCCTCAGCCTCAGCCTCAGACTGCCTCTGCCTCAGCCTCAGCCTGCTTCAGCCTTAGCCTCAGTCTGCCGTCGGCCTCGGCCTCAGCCTCAGCCTGCCTCAGCCTCAGCCTGCATCAGCCTCAGCCTCAGCCTCAGCCTGCCTCAGCATAAGCCTGTCTCAGCCTCAGCCTCAGCCTCAGCCTGCCTCAGCCTCAGCCTCAGCCTGATTCAGCCTCAGCCTCAGTCTGCCTGATTCAGCCTCAGCCTCAGCCTCAGCCTGCCTGAGCCTGAGCCTGCCTCAGCATCAGCATCAGCCTCAGCCTGCCTCAGCCTCAGCCTGCCTCAGCCTCAGCCCCAGCCTCAGCCTGCCGTCGGCCTCAGCCTCAGCCTCAGCCTCAGCCTCAGCCTCAGCCTCAGCCTCAGCCTCAGCCTCAGCCTGCCTCAGCATCAGCCTGCCTCAGCCTCCTGCCTCAGCATTCAGCCTCAGCCTCAGCCTGCCTCAGCCTCAGCCTGCCTCAGCCTCAGCCTCAGCCTGCGTCAGCCTCAGCAACAGTCTGCCTTCAGCCTCGGCCTCAGCCTCAGCCTGCCTCAGCCTCAGCCTGCATCAGCCTCAGCCTCAGCCTCAGCCTGCCTCAGCATCAGCCTGCTTCAGCCTCAGCCTACCTGCCTCAGCCTCCCTCAGCCTCAGCCTCAGCCTGCTTCAGCCTCAGCCCCAGTCTGCCTTCAGCCTCGGCCTGCCTCAGCCTCAGCCTGCGTCAGCCTCAGCCTCAGCCTCAGCCTGCCTCAGCACCAGCCTGCCTCTGCCTCTGCCTCAGCCTCAGCCTCAGCCTCAGCCTTAATCTGCCTTCAGCCTCGGCCTCAGCCTCAGCCTGCCTCAGCCTCAGCCTGCAGCAGCCTCAGCCTCAGCCTCAGCCTGCCTCAGCCTCAGCCTGCCTCAGCCTCAGCCTCAGCCTGCCTCGGCCTCAGCCTCAGCCTGCTTCAGCCTCAGCCTCAGTCTGCCTTCAGCCTCGGCCTCAGCCTCGGCCTGCCTCAGCCTCAGCCTGCCTCAGCCTCAGCCTCAGCCTCGGCCTCAGCCTCAGCCTCGGCCTGCCTCAGCATCAGCCTGCCTCAGCCTCAGCACCAGCCTGCCTCTGCCCGAACGGACAGAAACACGACACGAAAGCACGCCATTCAAAACACGAAACTAAAACACACCGCAAAGCACGCAATTAAAACCACACAGCTAAAACACACCTCTAAAACACGCCATTAAAACACAGCATTTTAAACACACCGTTAAAAGCGGACCGCTCAAAAGACACCGTTACACACAGAGAAATCACAGCTAACACGCAGCGCCGAGGGCAGGGGGTGCTTCCCACGGGGGAGTCGCATCTTCCAGCTGGCTCGGGGCGCCGCGCGCCCAGTGCGACGCCGCCCCCGTCGACGTGACCCGAGCATTTCGAGGCAGACCTGCAAGCCGTACCCGTCGACGGGAGGCCGCCAGCCCGTGGCGACCCGTCGCGGCGCCGCTCTCGTCGCGCCTGTGCCGCCGCACTAGCTCGCACGCGGGGCGCCAATGCCCCCTCCTCCCTCTCCTCCTCCCCCATCCCTCTCCTCCTCCTACTCCTCCTCCTCCCCCTCCTCCTCCTCCTGCTCCTCCGCCTGGGCGGCCCTTTGCCCTGAGTGTTCCCCGCCTGCAGGGCGGATAAGCAGCGCCGCCAATTACGGCCACCCAGATCCAGACATTTGATCTCGTGCACGATGGCTGTGTGTACACTATGCGTGCGCGCAGAGTTGGCACCTTATGGATCTGAGGGTTTTGTTTTACTTTGCTTTGCTCCTGCCCCTCCCTCCTCCTCCTCCTCCTCCTCCTTCGTCCTCCTCCTCCTCCGGGGGCCTCCCTGGCGGCCGTGGCCCTGCCTGAGCTTCAGCAGCGGTCGCTCGACTCTCGAGCGTGCCCGTCGCCTGGTCCGGCTCGCGGCCCGAGGTGCCGACCGAGGGGGGGCTTCTGTTGCGCGCGGCGGAGGAGTTTTTTTCCGTAGATTTTCGTCGATGTCGCTTTTTCGTTGTTTCGGCCCTTGGGGGCCGTTTTCGGGCCCCGGGGCCTTCGAAAACGGACCCGGGGTGAAAAACGGCGTCGGACGAACTCCGGGGGGGGGTCTGGGGGCCGATTTTGAACGGAATTTGGCCAAGGGCGCCCTCGAGGGCACGACGTTGTTCGCGCTTCGCGGTCCTCCGTCCTCCTCCCCCTCCTCCTCGTCCTCCTCCTCTCCTCTCGGGGGGCGGCGCGAGGGCGCGAGGTTGTTCGCGCTTCGCGCAGCGCAGAGCTCGAAGTTATGAGCCCTTGGGCATCCGGGTCCCGGCGAGTGCACTTCGAATATCTGCTTTGCTGAAGCTGAATTGGTTTTCCTGCTCCGGAGGTCACGTCGCCAGACTCCCCGCCATCCATGGAGACCTTTGTTGGCGCACCGTTTTTGTTTGATCATGCGGGAAGGACGCATCGCGAGAAAACCTCTCCGTGTGGCAGCTGGATTTCCGAATGCACTCACTGCGAGCATAGAGAGGCCCGCAGGGCAGTCCGGGCGGCGACCTCGGGAGCCTCCGGAGGTCGCCGCCGCCGTCGTCGGCGCCATCGCCGTCGCCGCCGCCGTCGTCGTCATCGTAGGTGCCTCCGGCGGCGCCTCCCGGGGGCGCCTCGGGCGCCCTTGGCCTGCCCCTTGCCTGCCTCCGGAAGGGGCGTCAGACCTCCAGCATCTTGGAGAAGATCAAGCCGGAGGTTTTTTCGCGATTTTTCGCTTCTGGAGGCCTTCGACGGGCTCCGGGGCTGCCAAAAAACGACTTAGGACGAGAAACCGGTCCCCGGGATGTCGTCGAGAGGTCCAGGGGCCGCGTACTGACGCAAATCACGACGTCGGATGTATGGGCCCCCAGACCTCCACGAAGTTTTGGGAATTATTTTTCTAATCGTCGCCCCCTCGAGGGGAGGGGGTGGGTTACTATTGACCCGTGGGGCGCATTCGATTTTCCAATCCCCCTACCTCGGGGCAAGTAGGAAGGACTTTCGAAACTGGTTCTGAAGACCCTAAACAGCCGGGGGCCAGAAAAGAACGCGAGAGAGTGCCCGAGGAAAGAACGCGAGAGAGTGCCCGAAGAACCTCTTCTGCTTGGGGCGGGATAGAGAACCTTACAGGCAAGCTGTTTGGGGCACTTCGGTGGCGCGCCTTAGTTTTCAGTGAAAACATTTTCCCAGCGTTACTTTTTCTTTTTGGGCTTCCTTCCAGGCCCATTTCCGCAGCCATTGGGGCTCAGTCGGCAGGATGGCGGCCGACCGTTCTTCAGCCGCCCACCTGGCCATCGAGACTCGGGCTCGGCAAGTCGCCCAGGACCGCGCGTGGCTCGGTCCCTGGGACCTCCTTGTCGCTTCGCGTTGCCATGGGATGCCGGTGCGTCTCCTTTTCGACGCGCCCGTCTCGCTCCAGCATGCGGTGGACGTTGTGTGCGGCGAGGCTCTGTGTGCCAAGTTGTCCGTGCCCTCTGTTTCGGCCGCCGCGTCTGACGCCGGCGTCGTGCTCGTGGCAACGACAGCGACCTACAGCCAGCTGGACCGACTGTACGCGGATCTCACCCATTGGGTACCGGCTCGCGCGCTGGCGGATTCAGGCCAAGAGGCGGAGGCTCTAGAGGCCTCCTTGGAGGAGTCTGCTTGCGTTCGCATGCGGACGGCAATGGAGCAGGCCGCTTCCGCGGAGCTGGACGGCGCAGACATGGCCCGCCTACTGGCCCACACTTCGGCTTTTAGCCTGCTGATGCGCCTTCGGCTTTTAGCCTGCTGATGCGGTCGTTGGACACACCGCGCGCAGCATGCTGCGACAGCTCTGCCACTTCTTCCGTTTTCTTTTTTACTGCGGCCCCGCAAGCAAAAGCCATTGAGCAGATGTCCAAGTTCACTCGTGCCCCGGCCCCGGCACCACCAGAACGTTCGGGGGGAATGGGCCCCGCTTTCTCATGGCGCTGGGGATGGGGCACGGATGAACTTAGACATCTGCTCAATGGCTTCTGCGGGGGGGGGGGTGGCGCCCGCCGTCCAGCCAGTCGACTACCGCCACACTCGACGCGGGTTTTTTAGCTTCAGATGGTTTGTCTCTTGGGGTAGTTGGCCTTCGTCGGGCTGCTCCAGCCAGTCGCTGCGCTCCGACTGGGGATGGGCGGCCATCAAGCTTTGACGCTGCCCGTTTTGCACTTGTGCACTATAAAAACTAAAAAAATTCAAAATTAAAAACCAAAAAAAAAAAAAATAACAAAAGAACAAAAATAAAAAAAAAAAAAAAAAAACAAGTAAAAAAAAAAGCGTTTGAGCCTAAGATTGCGCCAAAAACTGCTCACTACAATCCCCCCCATCCCCGCCCATCCCCCATCCCCTCCGACAATCCCGCCTTCTTCCCAACAGCCATCCCTACCTCAGTCGTCGTCCTCGTCGTTGTCGTCGCCCTCCTCCCCCCCCCCCCTTCCCCCCTCTTCCTAGAATCGGAGAACGCTTCCGGGCGGCACTCCAGAGTCCAAAATTTTTCCCCTGGTCTCCTCCCCCTCATCCCTGGCGCAGCCGCGACCGCCCTCATCCTCGCAGCCAATCGCGTCGTAACCACCACGTCTTCATCGCGCGTCATCTTATCAACCAATTCGTCGCGCGCTATCATCATGTCATCATGAAGACGTCATCGCCGCGTCGTCAGCATCGCGTCATCGTCGCCACGTCATCATTGAATCATGTGTCACGTCGTCATCTTCGCGCCCATATCATTGGCGCACCGTCGTCATAATCACGCGAAGAACCAAACCTATGTGATTTTGCGCAATGAGCAAGAGTTCATCGAAATGGCTTTGAAAACCAACCGAATCCAATGAGGCTGACCCCCCGGGGTGGGGGGGGGTCAGCCTCATTGAAGTCGGCCGGGTCTCGCGGCCAGAACGATCGACTGTTGCGTTCGGCAGAGAAACCAATGAGGCTGACCCCCCGGGGGGGGGGGGATTCCCCTCGTTGGTTTCTTTCTGCCCGAAACCAAACAGACGCAATCGTTCTGGCAGTGAGATCCGGCCGACTTCAACGAGGCTGACCCCCCCCCCCCGGGGGTCAGCCTCATTTGATTCTCTTCTAGACCGGCACTCCGCCCACCAAGCCTCCCGGAAGACCCTCCCGGGACATTTCCGGCGGCCGTCGCCCAATCCGGCAACGTGCCCATTGAAGTCGGCCGGTCTTCACTGAGGGCGCCTTCCCAGGAGAGCCTCCCGGGAGCCAATTCCGGCTTGAGGTCATGGTGCCCGGGCCTCCTGGGAACCAATTCCGGCTTGAGGTCATGGTGCCCGGGCCTCCCGGGAACCAATTCCGATTTGAAGAGTGCCCCCCGGGACCTCCCGGGAACCAATTCCGCTTCGAGGCCCGGCCTCCCGGGAACCAATTCCGCTTGAGGCCCGCCCGCGCATGGCGCCACATACACTGATGCATAAGCCCACCCCCAACCATTGTCCACGTCGCTTTCTTTATGGCGCAACATAATATGCTTATCGAACAACATGTAGCTCACGGCGCCATGTCGACTGCGTCGCGCGGCTTGTGCCGCGCACATGGGCATGCACGCGCATGCACATATATGCACACCCGTCCATGCACATGTACACGCATATACACTTATATACATATATGTACCAACCATCCTGTGGTGTTGGGTCCTCGTTTTGAAGAGACGTCGACCCGCGTTCCTCCCCGCCTCCCTTACTCCTCCTCCCCTTTCCCCCCTCCTCTTCACATCATCATCACCCTCATCATCATGACCATCGGCGTCATCATCATCATCGCCATCATCGTCATCGCCGCCATAACGTCATCATCATCAACCTCATCATTGCCATCATCTCAGCATCACGGCCATCATCATCCTAGTCACTATCATCATCATCAACATAACCATCCTCATATCATCATTAAAATCATCTTTATCATCATCAACATCATCATACTCGCGGTCATCATCCCCGTCATATTCCGCATCCTCGCTGTCATAATCATCACCGCGGTAGTAGCCGTAGTAGTAGTACTACTAGTACCACTACTACTACTACTACTACTGCTACTACTACTACAACAACAACTACTACTACTACTACTACTACTACGACGACTACTACTACTACTACGACTACTACTAGTACTACTACTACTACTACTACTAGTACTAGTACTAGTACTAGTACTACTACTAGTATTACTACTACTACTACTACTACCACCACACTACTACTACTACACTACTACTAACTACTAATACGACTAACTACTACTACTACTAAACGACTGCGCTGCAACAACAACTACTACTACTACTACTACTACTACTACTACTACTACTACTACTACTACTACTACTACTACTACTACTACTACTACTACTACTACTACTACTACTACTACTACTACTACTACTACTACTACTACTACAACTACTATTACTACTACTACTACTACTACTACTACTACTACTACTACTACTACTACTACTACTACTACTACTACTACTACTACTACTACTACTACTACTACTGGGAGGGGTGGGAGGATTAAGAGCGCCCCGGATCGGCGGCACTGGCCGGAGGCCACTACAATCAACGAAATCCCGTCGAAATCGGCCCCCAGAGCCCTCCCGGGGTCCATCCGACGCAAGTTTTCACCCTGGATCGATTTGTCCCTACATCGCGCCGCCTCGTCCTACCAACTCGCCCCTCTTCCTCCCTCGCCCTGCCTCGTCCTAGTTCCTCCTACGTAGAGCTCCAAGGGGGTCACAAATAGGCTCCAAGAGGGGCGCTATGGGTCTCATCGAACCGCCGTTTTCGATGAGACCTATCGCGCTCCTCTGGGAGCCCTCTTGGGGCCGTCTTGGCTCCCTCCGGGGCTCCTCGAGGACCGGCCCGCCCTGTCCTGGCCCCGTCTAGGGGCTGATAGAGAGCCCTCAGGGGGCTTCAAGATAGCCTCAGGAGGACTCTAAGAGAAGGAGGCCCAGGTCTCATCGAACCGCTGTTCTCGATGAGACCTGGCGCGCTCCTCCTGGAGCCCTCTTGGGGCCCTCTTGCCCCACTCCTGGTGCCCCTCGAGAGCCCTCTCGCACTGACCTTCACTCGGTGCGAACAAAACTTGGTCCAGATTCCCGGGGGCCGCGTCGCGAAAAAAATGCAACCTCGGGGGTGGGGGCCCTCCTCCTCCTCCTCCTCCTCCTCCTCCTCCTCCTCCCCCCCCCTCCCTGACTGGGGCACCCAGCGCGTGCGCTCGGGGCTCGGGCGCGCCCCCCCTCAGGGGGCGGAGGCCCGCCATCGCCGTGGGGGGCGGCCCGCGGGGGGGCTCCAGGAGGGGAGACGACGACGACGACGACGACCACGACCACGACCGCGACCACGACCACGACCACGACCACGACCACGGTGACGACGACGACGACGACGACGGCTGCGGCGGCGGCGACGAAAACGACAGCGGCGACGACGTCGTGGTCTCGGAGGGGGAAGAGGAAGAAGAGGAGGAGGATGTGGAGGATGATGGGAATGAGCCTGATGACGACCAATAGGATTGGGATGTAGGACATGACTGACTTGCTGACTGACTGACTGACTGGGAGGAGAAGGAGGAGAGAGACGCAAGGAGGAGGACGGGGGACAGGAGGGGGAAAGTATACTCGCAGTAAAGTTCCCGGTGGGGTTTTCGAGACTGGAGGAGGTGAACGAGGAGAAGGACACGAGGAGGAGGAGGAGGAGGAAGGGGACAGGAGGAGGAGGAAGGGAGCAGGAAGAGGAGGAGGAGGAGGAGGAGAAGGGATAATATACTTGCAGTAAAATTTCCAGCGGGGGTTCCGAGACTGGAGGGGGCGAGAGAAGGGCACGAGGAGGAGGAGGAGGAGGAGGAAGAGGGGGACAAGCGGAGGAGGAGGGGAAAGGCACTTGCAGTAAAGTTTCCGGTTTGGTTTTCGAGACTGGAGGAGGACGAGGAAATGGACAGGAGGAAGTTGAGGAGGGGGACAGGAGGAGGAGGAGGAGGAGGAGGAGGGCGAAGGTACTTGCAATGCACAGTTCCGTGGGGGTTCGAAAGGACCGGGGCAGGAGAAGGGAAGGGACAGCTCCAAGAGGACACTATGGCCCCAGCATGCCAATACGGATCGAATAATAAGCATAATATTGCGGCCTTGCGGCTGCTTTGGCCGAGGCTTCTCCAGGAGATTAGTCCGAATCGCTGACGGCACCGCGCTGGTCGAGGCCAGTTTGGGCCCGAAACGACCCAAGTTCTAGGTCCAGATAAATGTTCTAGGCGCCACCTAGGGCGGTCTAGGTTTGGGAGGGAGGGTGGAGGGAGGGAGGGAGGGAGGAGGAGGAGGAGGAGGAGGGAGGAGGAGGAGAGGGTTTGCGGAGGAGGAAGTAGAAAAGGTAGGAGGAGCAGGAGGAGGAGAAGGAGGAGGAGGAGGAGGAAGAAGAAGAAGAAGGATAATAATAATATTAATATAATAATGATGATGATGATAATACTAAGAATAATAATAAGACTAATAATATGAATAATAATAATAGTAGTAATAATAGTAATAATCATAGTAATAAGACTAATACTAATAATAATAATAGTAATAATAATAGTAATACTTTTAATAATAATATTAATAATAATAATAACAATAACAATAATAATACTAACCATAATAATAATAGTAATAATAGCATAAAAAGAAGAAGAATAATAAGAAGAAGAAGAAGACGACGAATATATAATACGAATAATAATAATAAGAAGAAGAAGAGGAGGAGGAGGAGGAGGGGCTCAAGAGACGGGGGGTCCATGCAAACGGAGGGCGGTCAGAGCGCCGGATCTGGCAGGATCCTGCAGGGC